ACATATAAATGAGAATACATACTATTTCAGACTTCAGCAACTCCATTTGTTCCTGTAAACTCGATATGTGATGCTTCAGTCCCTGTGTGAGTCAGTATGACAAATGTAAGAGGAATGTTTTCATTATGTCAAAATGATAAAAGACAGATCACCAGAGCTCACCTCACGTCTTTGCAGTTCGATTGACCGAGCTAATGCTTGCCTTCTTGTCAGTAGATTCCTAGGCCTCAACCGAAGAGGTTGCTGATAGTTCTTTCCTCGATATAGAATGATTGCATAGCCTCTAGTAGTTTTATCTATTGATACAAGCACACCACCACTCTCTGCCTCCAACGATATTGCAAGATGTTTAACTTGTCCAAAATTTTTGCCCCTCACAATTACCTTCACCAACTCCCTGAATTTCCAGTGCAGATGTATGTTCTCTATGGTACCATCAAAAACTTCTCGCCTCCCTGTAAAAGAAGCAGCTTTTGTAAGTAGTTCTTTAGGATGCATATATATACCTAAGAGCTAAGTTCACATGCTTACCCACAAGCAAGAAAGGTTTCATGCTTAAGCCAATTTTACGGAATACTAATCTCTCCTCATCAGTTATCGTTTCTAAATCTGTAGGGAGCTCTTCCGGTTCTAGATATCCTTGCACCTTTTCCAAAGCCTTTTCAGCCTTCTTGAGCTTCTGATTTGCCTGCAAGCAATTTAGAACGAGAAATGGTGAATCAGAGAGCATTTTTGAGAGGGTTAAATAGCTCATGTCTTTCAAATCAAGATGTGAGATCCTTTATAAAGTAACAATAACTTACAATAGCTAATTTCTTTTTATGATAATTAACCAGTGAAGCATGTCTAGCCAGAGCTGAATCTTTTATCATTTTCTCCACATCTTCATCGTCTACTTGCTTTCCCCAACGAGAGTTTGCAGCAACAGTCTCTGCAAGAGTCCCCGCGACCATAGGAACCTTGTAGTTTTTAGAGTTTGAGTTAACCAAAGCAAATGCATTCCGCCGTTCTTCTTCTTCTTGATAATTAAGCATCGACAGCCTATCCCTTTCCTTCAGCGATTTTGTTACATTTGGGGGCAAGAAGTCATTTCCTCGATAAAAGACAATGTACTCTTTATTTCTTGAGAGTAATGTCCCCCTAGTCAGTCTCTGCAATTGGAAGTTGAAAGTGCTCTAAGAAAACAGGGTATATTATAGACCCTTGCATTATTGACAAAAAGAGATCAAAGCTTTTCATTTGACACGTCAAATATAATTTTCTTCAATATGTGATGCATATTAGATTACAAGTGAAGACAAACTAGCTATGATCTTGGATGTACATAATTTAGTTAACAAAAATGAGAGGTTGCACCCTCACTTTCAAAAGGAATTAATATTAGATTTCAACTTTTCTGGAAATTCACCAAGCAAACAAACAAGATAAGTCTTACCTTCAGCTCCCAAGCCATTCTCTCATTGGAAGTATTTAAGACACCACGTTTAATGGCAATTTTGGCTATAGCACTTTTCTCCCATAACTTTACCATAGCAGCAGCCAGCCCTTGGAGATCTCTGCTCCTCCCTACCACAATCAATTGAATAATATCGCTTCAGTCAGTAAGATTTTACAATCTAAATTGTGGTCACTGTAATCATTTCTGACATACCCAAAGCAAAATGTGGATGGGTGTTCCTTGCAATCCTACGGTATTCAGTTGTTTGCGCATCTTTTAAACATTGCCGTACACCATAAGGAAGAAGTCTGAATGGAGTTTTATAACCAGGAACTACAGCTGGAAGCAAATCTGCATCAACAGGCAATGGAGGAGGGCCAGACCAGTCGACAAATCGTGGACCCAACTCATCCAACAGATTGTTGAGCTCACTTATCTCCGTCGACTCTTCTTCAGACAGTATCTTTTGAACTCTCGCAGAATCAGGGACACGTATTCCTGGATGATCTGAAACATCTACATCTATGTTTTTCTCTTTCTTATATGTTTGTACACAGTCTAGTTTGTAGGTCAATCCCCTAAATAGCACCATGGAACTACCTGATCTCCATATCACCAAGCCTCCTGTTTTACTCTAGCAAACAATATGAAAACATATCTTAAATTTACATACTCAAATACTCGAAAAGCCAAAACCAACTACACCACAAATTCATATATGAAGCATGAGTATACAGCATAACAGCAATGAAAACAACCAACTGAATCATAAACATAACCAAAAAAAAAACTACAAGCAGCTAAAAACTAAATCCAATGCATAATTATGCCACATTATATATTTTAGTCTACAAAAGTGAATAAAAATACAGGAATCAAGAAACATTATTTAGGAAAGCAATCTGACCTCAAGAACCTCATGCATCCTTTTCATATTAACCGTGGACTGCCCTTCGAATTTGAGTTTCACAACTTCATCAATCTTCCATTTGTCATGAATGGCATCCACCAAGGCTTGTGTAACACCTGCTGCCCCAACTTTTATCCTCTCTTTCATCCTCAATGCTACATTCCTCAATCTATTAAGTTCATATTCCGGAATCGATTTCTCGGCTAACCAGGTCTTGCTCTTCGAGCGCCTATCTTCATCAGCTTTCTCAGGATCGGGTACCCATGGCAACCTATCTAACCTTTTCTCTTTAATATCATTCTCACTAACAGCCTTAACTTTCCGAAAATCGCCACCATTAACATCATCATAGTTGCCTCTAGATAATGTTACTTTACTACTACTATCTTTCTGCAATAATCTAACAGTTGCAACATTTTTCTCAACATTTTCCTTGAATTCAACTATTTTCTCAGGAGCTAATTTATTCACTAAATTCCCACTAATTAACTCAGATTTCGTCAATTCCTTTTTCTCAGCAATTGAAGATGAAATCGAAACATTACCCAATTCAATGTTAACATTATTACTAACTTTATTACTCAACTTTTTATCAAATTTTCTACTAAAATTTGAAATGGGTTCTTCAATTTTGCTTCTATTATTGAAATTAACATCAAATTTAGGAGTTTGAGCAACCCCAGAAATTGATTCTACCTCCTTATGCTTTCCCACAAATTCTGACGATGAAATTGAAGGTGGGTGTTCTTCTTCCTCTTCCTCATCTTCTTCATCTTGTTGTTGCTGAATCTGCCATGGAAATTTCTGAGTATGAGAAACGGGTTTAACAGACCATTTATCACGAATTTGATCAGAAAAGCTTGGTTTTGGCTTCCTTTTCTTCTTGTAAGTATTAAGAGGTTGGGATTTCTGGGTTTCTAGTTGGATTGTATTGTTCTGTGAACAGTGAAGTTTGAAGTGGAGAGGATTGAGGAAGAAAGGAGGGAAATTGGTGTGAAGTTTAGGAGAGAGAAAGAAAGAAGATGAAGTGGGGTTTAAGAAGGGGTGACAATATTGTTGATGCCCTGAAATTGCCATAACCAGTTATCATATGAGCTTGGCAATATCTCATTTTTCAAGCGGAGGAAAGTTGGAGGGGTAGAATATGGGCTTGGCAGTTGGGCTGACCCGGTACCAAGATGCGGTCTTGAATGACATATGATGTGAGTGTTTTGACATCAATGCGCTCTTGTTTATAGGTGATAAGGATGAGGTTGTGGGCACAAAGCAACATGAATGGGTATTTGATTTTGAGGTGGCGGTGTTGCGTATCGGTGACAACTCTGACAAGAATGAGGGGTGTTTAGGGTTTAATGGCTTATGGCGGTTGATCGAGTCGTAGGATTGAAATAATGAGTTGGGGCATCTTAGAGTTTGACATGCTAAATTGCGAGTGACAATAAAATCTAGTTATTTTTGGTGTCTACACTAGTTATAAAGCTGGAAAATGTGTCATGTCAGATTGTTTTTGTGCTAGTGTCAGAGAAAGAATGGAAAACCCTAACACCATCTCTACTCGTTCTATCAAATGCGTTATGTCGTGTAACCCAATTTTGTAAACATGTCGAAAATCTTTAACACTAACCCACTTTTTCGTGTACGGTTCATGTCGTGTTATCGTGTCGCACAAAATAGAATTGGCCTGGTACTACTATTTATTATCAAATAAATTAAATTATTGGTAATTTCTTTAGGTTAAGTTATGTCAATTTCATGTTGGTAATCTCAACACTAGTCTGACCTAATTAACATATTCTGTCATTTTGACCTGTTTAGCATTAATCAGCTTTTATCGTGTCCGATTCATATCGTGTCAACTTTTGCCATCTCTAAAGTAGTAAAAAAAAAAATTAGTACCTTTTGAGTATCTCATGCAAATTATTACCTGCTACAAGTTCAATATTTTCACAAGTAGGATTTTTGCTTTGGACATTAGAAAATCTCAGAATCAAGCCTAATACTATTGATGTTAGGCCTGTACAAAACTATCAGAGGATCCGATAATCCGATCCGCAACCGATCCGAATTTTTGGATATTCAATCTGAAAAAGCGGATATCGGATACGAATTTGGATATTGATTTTCAAAATTTCGGATATCCGATATCTGAAATATAAAGGCTGAAATAGTGAAATATATATATAAATTTTTTAAATTGTTCATATAAAACTAACCCTGTATTATTAACTTATTATAATATTCTTAATATATTTTATGATAATTTTTATTGCAAAAAGACTATTATTTTGTTAACATATGTCGTACAACTTAGCAATAAAACAAGTGGTAAAATTAGTGAAATTTAGAGAGTAATCATAATCAATTTTACTTAAATTGGATAATGGATATCCGAAGCATCCAATCCGAAAATTTCGGATATCCAATATTTTCGGATCGAATTTGGATATCAGTTTCTGATATCCGAGCATTCGGATATCCGATCCGTGAACATGCCTAATTGATGTACGCAAATCTGAGATTTTCTAACGGCCAATAGCAGCAGTGATTAAATACTGTTGATCGTTGACAGTTATAACTAATACTAGTAAAAAGTACATTGTACAATCACTACAAAATGTGCTTTAAATTAGGAACAAAAAAAGTACAATTTGATGCACGCAAATCTTCAATTTAATTGCTGTAGAATTCTGGTGACAAGACAAATACTGAAATATATATCCACAACTTCGGAAAAAACACGAAAAAATGAATAAAGGATAGAAATCTTTTTCTTCTATTTTCTTACAGCAAGGCCGGTAAAGTTCCATTTCAGTAGCAGGTCAGCAATGTACTTATCTCAATTGAAGAACATCGGCAAAAATACTTGACAAATAAGAATTTTAGATGTTATATCAGCCGTTTGGGCCTGTTTCTATATCTCCTCTTCTTCGAATGGATCACGTTCAGGAAAGTCTCCCACCTGGAAAATGAAGGTTCAGAACGTATAATGTAACGTTTTGATATCATTGGGGAGCCAACAAATATCCAAATACTTGCAGTGGACACAGATGAAAGTATTTGAAGAGGCAATAGAAAAGAACTATTCAAATGCCAAATATATAATCTCCTTGGTACCCATGATAGATTCACAGCAAGCAACTCAATTTTCGGAAAGCAAAAACTAAATATAACCAGCATTCCCAGTAAGCTATTCAGGCATAAAAGAGGTTGAGTTCATGAAAGATGAATAGGACTTAGAGAAAGTCATATAAGGCATGGCAAATTGAATGTCTTGTACATACTAACAATTTTTCTAGCATAATTTAGTATGCTAGCAAAAGGATGGGAGTTAGGACAGCTGACAAATCTATCTCAATGAATCAAGTAATCTGAATGAAACCTCTAATTACTAACTAATGTATCAGCCTATTAACATGGTAGATGAATAGGACTTTAATGGTCCTTTCCAATAAGTGACAGAAAATATTGCTGGATTAGTAAAAAAACAAACCTGTACTTTATCTGGTCTAACCATCGCACCGTGAAGTGGTGGACAGTCAAAGTAGCGAGTCCCTTTGACCCTGCAACATGAAAAGCTGAAATGAACAATCTTAACATACAACGGATTAAGTTTTGCAGCAAGAATTACTAGTCATCTTCAAGTGAAAATTTCTAACAAAAGAAACACATGGTTACTACAAGGGTTATGAATTGTAAGAGCATCAGAAAGTTGCTACGTGAATAATAGCTGAGGGATTTGATTTACTTACAATCCATCATGCTTCCCCAGCGGTTCATCATACTGAACTCCAACCCAGAAACCAGGGCCTAGATTTTCTGCTTGGCCGACATATTTCACAATACCACGTTTGTCTCCTGGTTGAACTTGACATCTATCTCCCACCTGAAAGAAAAGTAAGAAGTTATAGGTAGGCACAATCAGCCAGCCAGTCAACCAAAAAGACACAAACAAAAAAAATTACACTAAAAGACAGGAAATGGTGAATAGCTATAAACCAGCTAGGCTAGCATATACAAAGCTGTTTCCATGCATTCAAGCATGAAATAATACCAGCAGTGATAGAGTTTGATAACACAAAAACATGAGGAGAGCAGTTTCAGGGATGGGATTTTATAAAGTTAATGAAACTCAGGTACTCAACACATAATATAAAATTGTTCATAGGCTACTTGAGGAAGTGAAGCATAAGACATCCTTATAGTGAAAGTTGACAAATGACCATAACACATAACTAAATGGAAGGTTCAATAATAGCATCAACAATCCTACACAAGGTATAGGAATTCCTGAAAGCAGTTAGCAAAAAAAATGGAATGGTATATTGAATCGAATCATATAGTTACAAGTACAGGTGATCTTGAAACCGATTATGTTGTTACAAGAGCTAAAACTGAGAGAACCAATACATCACCCAGACGAAGAACCAGCAAAGCATAACGATATAACATACTACATCAATCCAATCAAGCTCCCAATAAAATTTAAAAGTTTAAACATTAGAAAGTGAACAGGGGAATACCAAGGTATTTCTTGATATCATATTGATAAAATGGTAAGAGAATGAACATTTCTTTCACTAATTTAAAGATGCAGCACAACTATTTCAGAATGCCTGTAAGTTATAAGTTATGTTGCACTTGGCTTTTCAACATTGAGAATAGAACAGGGATACAAAAAAGATAAGTGACAACACCCCCTATAAATTCTAGTTTCTACCACAGCCCCCCCCCCCCCCCCCCCCAAAAAAAAAAAAAAAAAAAAAAAAAAAAAAAAAAAAAAAAAAAAACCTTGAAAGAATGTAGTAAATAGAGAATGTTAACTAAAAACTATAAGAATGTCAAATACCGAGTGGTTGTTATAGTAAGTATGACAAAATAGCTACTTGTGATCTAGATTCTCAGTTTCAATATCTTTTGACCAAGGAGGTCAGAAAAAGCAATCTGGTAAGCCACTGGCTTGAGGGCTGGTATGCTCTTCCTTAGCCCCTAAGCATTTGTTTGTATGCCAAACATGAAGAAAGAATCACCTCATTACATCATACGATAGCATCCCAGTATAAAGTGCAGCTACATGTCACGTGACATACAGCTCCACAAATCAAACAGAGATGGACTGAAAGTGCTAATTGCTAAGAACAGAAAATAACTAACCTTGATATTAGCACAAAGATCTTCCATGTAATTTTCAGGTAACTGCATAAGAGAAAGAGCAAAAATTGTCAAAAGAGGTGTTGTAATCACGTTCAGACCAATTTGAGAGTTACACACTTCACCAGTAGTAATCAAAGTTAGATGAATAAGATACATTTACATGTACAAATTTCACAGAAACACAGCAGACTAGAAGAGCAGATTCAAAACATACAAGATGAGCAATATCACAAAGATCCCATATGCATAGCAATATCTTCAAGGCTTACCTTAGTACTGGCACCTGAAGGGCTTTTAAGTTCTAACTTTTCCTTGAATTTTCTAAAAGTACCTACAATATCAAAACATTCAAATTAAGAAGGATAGGAGAAAAGAAGTCCAGAACGGTTTCCTATAATTGCTTGGCAGAGAACATTTGGGGTAAAGAATATGCACAAGACTAAAGATAGTCTAGCCAACAGATTCTTAAATATAGTAAAAAAAAAAATTGAAAAAAAAAAATTAAGTAAAAAAAAAAAGTTGCATCAATGATCATACATTAAATTAAAATAAGGTAAGTTAAAAAAAATACACCCCAAGAAATAAGATAGAAACACTAAAATGTATTCAAGATATTACAAAAATTTGGATTATAAAGTAGTTTTTAAGATACTTGCCATCACGTTGTTTATAGGCTTCATCAGAAATTTTGTATTTCTCCACCAAAGACATGTCTTCCAGCCAGCCACCAGAAGTTACTGATGCTGGGTCAAGATCTACAACATGCAGCCGATATCTTTTGTGACCCATTGAGAGAGAAGGAAAAAGAAAACATTAAATGAAATTCATCTAATTTAGATACCAGACACAATATCAATTGAAAATATTGCAAAGAATTAAGTCAACAACAAATGCAAAAGAGAAAACTATGGGTAGCTATCTTACCCATCCATTGGAAAATAGAACCCAAAGGATCTTGCATTATCAGTGAGATCAGCAATTTTAGCTCCTGCGTCATCATAAAGCTCAAGGGACATTGAATCTACAGTGGTACCACATTTTTTCCAGAGCTTCTCTTTCATGGCTTCCACAGTCATCTGACCACATATATCACATTAATTTTATTTAAATTAGGATTTTCCAAATGACTAGAAATAGTAATTAAGGGATAACCAGCTCACGAACCTGAAGTGAGAAGCGAATATCAGCATTGAAGCTTTTAAGATTCGAATGTGTTACACGACAAAGGACTGACTCATCGCCTTCAATTTGCAAACGAGACCCCATCGAACCTGAAGATTATTTCAGAATGTCTTGTTTCCTGAAAACCCAAAAACCCTTGCATATAAATTTTTATGGTAGAAATAAGTCCCAAGAGGTAAAACCGAATTATTCAGCACAAAAGCCCTATATATACAAGGGTTGAGATTCGGTAAGAAGCATAATTAACATGAGAAGCATGAGAAGCCAAGATACATAAAAAATGTTTTATAGATACATAATAAATATATTATAAATACATTAAAAATACATTGCAGATACAGAAAATTCTAATACAGGAATTAGAAATTCTAATATATTAGCACGCTCTTAAAGAAACTAAATTGAGCATCATTTACCAAAAGCTATGGATCAAAACATAATAATTATGCAAAATTAATCAGCACACTGGAAATTTGATAACCTTAATGCTACAATAATTCAATGAAGTAGTTCTCTCTTATTTATACAATTGAATTTAGAAACCAGCTTCAAACAATAGAATTCAATGCTTGGGAATTGGAACATCTTTGAGCATATGAATTGAAAGCTGAAAAAATAAGAAAAGGAATGAAAATTGTATATGTTTCAAAAAATAAAAATGAGAGGAGCTTGCTTAAACTTGATACGGGAGTAAGGTTATGAATACTTCTCACCCTTTTCACCTTAAGGATGATTCTCACATGAGCTTAAGTGAGAAAAGTAAGAAAAGAGGGATAGAAGTGATAAGAAAAGAGAGAGAGTATGAGGATTTGAGGCAGTCAATGACAGGCAGGAACAGATATTAGTACACAAAAAAGACATGGTAACCCATGTTTACTCACTAGTGAAGTTTGGAGCTAGGGAGAAGAGGCAATGACTTAAAACTGCTATAAAAGAATCCATATAATCTATATAATCATGATAAGTGTTATGTCGTACAACCAAGCCAATCTTAAACAACATAAAACTTGTCATTGATTTTTCACATTTCCAAGAATTTTATGAGTTGGAGTGGGTTGCATCAATAGATACTAATAACTTACTAACAGAGAAGGCCAAGCAAGCTCCACTTCTCCCATGGAAAGGTTATACCATACACGCTGGATGCACTAAGGTATGTACAACTCTTCGCCAACCAATGTGTGAACTGTGTGTTATAGGGCCATATTCAATGTGGATTCATGAATCTGGGTGCAACATATCTCCTTATTTAGATACCTTTATTTTCTAATGAAAAAATAAAAAAGGTCTTTCTCAAAGTCTTTTGTCTGCAAATATCTTGGGCAACAAGCCATATAACATCATACACAACCATGGTACCTCCCTCCAAATCACCATCACCACCCATTACTCCATCATTACTCCACAAAATCACCCTTCTTCACTAAAGGTAGAGAGAGGAGTTTGAAAACCCTTCCAACCTTCATCCCCACCACCCATAAAACCCACCACAGCCTTGTTTTCAACATATACATGTAAGAGAGATGAATAAGAAGCATTGAGCATCAAAGAGAAAAAATTAGGAGAAGAGAGAATAGGTGTAGGGATAGGATTATATATTCAACAAAGAGTAGTTCCTCTATTGAAGACTGCCAGCATTTTCCATGGTTGTATCTCTATGATTATTCTAATGCTGAGAGCATTTTAAACAACTAAATTTTCCTCATTTATTTCAAGTTTCTACTAGAATTCTATCATTTGTACACAAGGATAACCATCTTTAAAAATGAATTCCCACTTACTGAAGTACTAACTGCTCTCAAGTTTTATTTCCCTAAATGTCCTCTTATTTTGTCTTTGGAATGCCCAATTGTCCTTATATATGTTAGTTTTAACTACAAAAATTCTAAGAGTGGATAAAAAAATTGGCACTTTCAAAGATGTGTTGAAGGGAGCACTTCTTATGCTTATGAGACCAATCTGATCAGATGACGATGCAGCAGATTATCTCCTCAAAAACACCCAATGGAAACCCAATTTTAACCAAACATCATTAACAATTTTGTGAGGACAACTTCTTTTGACAGCAATGGTAGAAAACCCATGATCCCCATAATGGATTTTGCTGCAACTGATTCCACTTAAGAGCTTATATTCCCCAAAATAACCATCTATTAATCTTTCACCTGGTTTTATAGTATAATTGCCCAAAATGATATAATTGCATATATTGACACAGAAATAAGTAGGGTAAAAACAAATGTAAAAAAGGTTGTAAAACAATTTTAACAAAAGAAAGAATTTAATTCTTAAAGCTAGATAAAATGAGTGAATGGGGTAAAGGCAGTCAGGCAGAGGCAAAGAGAATAAGATGAGAAGTTGTTTAATTGATGAATCAAAAAATTATGCCTTGAAACTAGAACATAAGAAGATAAGAATTTGGTTGGACAACGGAAGAACGAGGAATTGGCAGGGAAGATGTGAAAATAGGAATCAGTGGTGGTGGTGATGGCAGCAGTGGCTGTAGACTTGTGGAGAGTTTGAAGCAGAACTATAAAAGCACTGAGCCAAGGGCGACAACAATGCTAGTGAAATGAACAAAGTAAGGAGAGGAGTCAAGGGTGGGGAAAAGGTGTAAAATGTGAGAAGTTTGGGAGGAAGGGGTTGTGACTTGTGAGAGAGTGAGAGTAGAGCTAGCACAGGCTAATCTGTAAGGAACTAAGGATAACACAACACTACCATGAACATGAAAAAAATCAAGATAATTTTGAGCCTTTTAACCCAATTATATAAGCGGATCAACACAAATTTCATCATTTTAATAAATTGGTTTAATTAGTGTTGAGGTTTTTCTACCTGAAACTAACACGACTTTACTTACTTGACTTGAATCATATAAGGAAATTACACAACGATGTTTTATCACACTATAAAGGCATGAGTTAGCATAGTCGGAATCAATTCTAGCTTGCTAGGGAGTAGTAAAAAAATAATATGATACAATGGTTTAACAACTTGGACATGGAATGATGGAAGAATTATACACTTATGATAATGATACAAATTTCTTGAAATTTTAACCTAAAATTAATTCGTTTTAAGAAATTTTTTGTTAAAACCACCTTATAAAAGTCCGACTTCATGAGTAACCACCTTATATAATTTTATTGGCAAAAAGAACCTTTTTTTTCTTATTTTTTTTTGTCAAATACCCTATTTTCTTCACTTTTTTCTGTTATTTTTTATATTTACGTATTCTCAAAAACTATGAATTCTTCCCATTCGAAGTTAAAACCTAATTTACTAGCTGAACCAGTCCATCCTTAAACTCTGCAGCCCTATAACAACTAATTAATTCCTTATTTGAATACAGTTTGTCATGATTACTAATGCCATTATTTTTGGTTGCTTTTTGGATTGTACTCGTACTAAGTTTTAACTCAAATGATATTGGCAATTCAAAGAGCATGCATCTTAAATAACTGTGTTTTTATGAACAGATAACAACATTGAGTCCCAGTGTCCAACAAATGAATGTGATGTACAGCATTGCCCTCAATTTAGCAATTGGATTGGCTTATCTTCACTCAAGATTGCACAAACCCATAAAAATATGGTAATCTTAAATCTAAAATTGTATTTTTCGGACCAAATACAAAATTATACAAATACCCTCTTAAAAATTGTAAATGAGCAAGATAATTATACTAAAATCCCAAAATGACACTTTTGGTTCTTCAAAATTAGAGCTAAAAACATGCTAAATGAGCAATTGTAGCCATAATTAGTGCATAATTGAAAAGAAAAAATCTGCGATTATAAACCCTAATTCAACAAGAATAATCAAGAATCAGAAATCTTGAATAAAAAAGAGGGAATCAATAGAATTACCGGCTTCGATTTTGTGTTAATTGAAGTTCAGTGAAGCAAATTTGTAGTTTGGTGAAGAGATCCAACTGGTTGTTGTGTTCAATTGGGGAAGAACAATGCCCAACAAAGAGATAAAATACTATTGGAGAAATTGGAGGGAAAAAAATATAGTAAAATAAGAATTTGTTTTGTAAATAATCACCCTAAAATTACCCTGTATTGAACTAACCACCCATTTATTTCGAAATTAAAAAATACCACCCATTAATGTCAAAATCAGTACATTTCACCACCCTTATCTAATTCCGACCAGTTTCCCAACTTAGGGACCACAAAATATAAAATCAAAATTACATTATAAAAAATAAACCAAACCCACCACTGCCACCTCCGGTAGGCAGCAGCTCTGCCACCTCCGACAACCCCTCACCTTCCCCGTTTCCATTTCCGGCACCCCTTACCTTCCCCGTCTCCGTCCCCGTTCCAGCAATCTCCTCCACTTCTCAACCTCACCACCCCCTTCACAACCACCACAACCCACCTCTTCTATCCATCGTCACCACTGTCAACCCATATCTCTAAAGAAATCAACAACTCTTTGAATCTCCTCCTCTTCCTCTTTCTCTCTCTTCTTCAATCAATTACAAACTCACTTGCAAATTTCAGAAGTTTTGTACATGCTACAAATCCATTGTTGGTTGAATTAATTCAACAATCTTATCAAACCAACAAATCAAAACCCTAAAAAACAGAAAATTAAATTAAAAAAATGAAAATAAAGAGTGCAACCTTGGAATGAGCAGAGGAAGCGGCGACGTGGGGGTTTCGTGAGGAAACGGCGACGTGGGAAGGGGTTTTGTGAGGAAACGGCGACGTGGGAAGGGGTTTTGTGAGGAAGCGGCGACGTGGGGGCTAGGTGGGGTTTCGCAAGCAAGGGTTGGGGCTTGGTGAGGTTCGCCGACAGGAATAGTGGCTGGTTGGGGTGATGGTGGTCCGGCAGGTGGTTGATGTGGGTGGGGTGGCAGGAGATGTGGGAGCTGCCAGGGGTTTTTTAATTTTTATTTTTTAAAATTTATTTTATTTTATCTTTTTTTATTTTTGAGCAATTACGTGGTGACACGTGTACTCTAAGTCGGAAAACTAGCCGGAACCCGAAATTGGTGAAGGGTGGTGAAATCTAGTGGTTTTGACATTAATGGGTGGTATTTTTTAATTTCGAAAAAAAACGGGTGGTTAGTTCAATACAGGACACATTTAGGGTGGTTATTTACACAAAATCCGTAAAATAAATAGATTAAAAAAATAAATAGAGGTTTAAAGTGTATTTTGACAATATTATATTTTGACAAATAAACAATTTGTCTCGGTGGAGTATAAAATACACAGTATAATTTTATTTTGACAAAAAGTATAGAGTATAATTTATTAAGTATTAATCCTTTGTTTCATATGAGATGCAATAAACTGACTATTATAAAAACATGCTTTCAGCAAAACTACGAATTGTTCATTATTGCATTATGACCTAATCTGATTATCCTCTTTGACCTCTTATCTACCAAAGCTCTTTAAACACCATTCAAAAGTTTCATCTCTCTCTTTTAATCTATGTAACTAAAGAGTTATTAAAAATTGTCCCAATCTAAGAAATCGACATAAAACAAGAATGATTAGAACCCGATCCATATTTGAAAAATGGGTGATACTAATGACCCATAACGTACTCAACTCAAACCCGACTCAATATTAACCAACAACTTATTTGACTTGATACATTATGATTTGAACCTTATACCTGGACTTGTAACCGACAACATATATTTAACCCACCTAAACAATGAACACAATAGGAACCCGGATCTGACACCCAACCCAACTAGAAATCGTAAATGGTTATAACCCGCCACAACTTGTTATTGATCCGACTTATGGTGTTCCATAACTTGATTCTATCCAAATCATTGTTGATCCGACCAAAAACTAACATGAAATCAATCGTGGACTTGATTTATAACCCAATCCAATCAAAAAAGTGAAACTATATAATTCCTTCGTTTTTTAGTTGACATATACTTTATGTTTTATCATGTTTTTCAATGCATAACTTAAATCATTTATATGACCTATATTTTTAATTATAAAAAAGTGAAAATTAGAAAATAATGATATTTTAAAAATATAATGAGACGAATCAAACAAAATCTTACATTTTTCTTAATCACAGATAATGATAATCAAAATTAGAGTTTGTAAATAATGTCAAAAGACAATACGTGTCAACTTAAAAAGAACAAAAAATAATACTTTCATCGTTTCTTTCAATCGCACAATTTGGTATGGGCATAATATTTAAGAAAAAGTGTAAAATGTGGGGATTACCAAAATTACGTATTCTATGACACAAACAAATGAGAGTGAAAAAAAGTGGGCTGACATTAATTGTTATCAAAAGGATAATTAGGGTATTTGGTATGTGAACGCAAATAAAAAGTAAATAACGCATACCAATTAAGAAAATGATGCAATTAACATGCAACTTCCCAAAAAGATAAAAGGGAATTTTTCTTTGGTAACACCGTATTTTTAAGTTTTCTCTTTGATGACTTGCAAAACTTATTATCATTGGTAATCATGAATATTTTATATTAAGCTAACTATAAATGATTAATTTAAATAAAATATTTAACTATAGTTAGACTTTTTTTTTAACATTTAAATGATTTTAGAAATATTTTTTTTTAAGAAAAATTTATGCCCTTCCCCCACCAACCTGTCACCACTCCCCCGCCCCTACCTACGTCGGCGACCATTGATTTTCATCCCCTTCTGCAACAATTCGATAATCTCAAGGGTTTTGATCTTGTTTGTCTGAGAATTTTTTGGGAAGGAAGGTTTTTTGTCGCGGTGGGGGTGGGGGAAGCGATAAAAGGGAAAGGGAGGGGTGAGGGTGTTGTGGGTGGGGGAAAGGGTGAAGAGGAGTCACTGCCGTTGGGGAAGGGAGGTGGTCGTTGGCGATGGTAGGGGGAGCTGGCAGTGGGTGGCGGATTTCAGGGATGGGGGAGGGGGTTTCTAGGATTTTCGGGGAAGGGTTGGGTGGTCACCAGCGTCGGGGGAAGGGGTCTAGGTGACTGCAGAGAGACGAGGTGGCGCTGGCAGAGGGGAGAGGGTGCTGGGGTTGGCTGGGGCACCGGTAGGTGGGGTTTTTTTTTTTTTTTTTTTTTTTAATTTTTAAAAAATAATTTAATTATTAAAAAATAATAAAACTAACCATGGTTAATGAGTTTAAATTGAAATAGCTATTATCTTTTGGTAATCAATAATTCAAGTTTACCGAAGATAATAAGTTTTTTTGCAATTCACTAAAGAGAAAACTTAAAAATATAGTGTTACGAAAGAGAATTTTCCAAAGGTAAATGGTGTAATTAAAACAAAAACCGAGAAAGTGTAAAAATTGATTAAATGTTAATTTGGTTTGACAACTTATATTATTCATACGGAGTATCTCTTGTTCAGTTCGTATATACTTGTACACATGTACACTAGTTAAAAACTTATATAGATCTAATTGCATGTTAATTTCAATTAATCAACAGGCGAATTTAAATAGATATTAATTCTCAAATTATAAACACTTCGATTTAGAGACAGATTTAAGTTCAAAGCATATGGTTTAAAAAAATCCTTGATACAAATATTTAAAAGATAAAGAAATAATGATTAACATTGAATTATTTAATTTGTAAAAGATAATATCTATATTTTGAGTATTTTATCGATACACAGCTATATGTGTAAATCATGTTAAGATAGTTCTTCATGTTAAGAGATCTGTTAATGCTGTAAATCATGGTCTTACTGCAATGAGCAAATTTCTAACCATATTTAGTACCACTTTAAATTACTCCTTTGACAACTTGACAAAGCTTATCTTACTAATGCTTCATATGTTCATTGATAATTGACTAGCTTGTTGTTGTTTTAAAATCATGTTGTTGTTGTTCTTAAAATGTTATTGGCGTCTTATTATGTTGTTGTATGTTGTTTTTGGTTATTTAATCACAACTATATTTTGTAAGGAATTTTACTACTAATTTAGCTATAAATTTTTAAATGTTTAAGTTTCACGTAATTCGTTAATTTATAAAAAAAAATTTAATATAATTTATTTCAAGTAACTTTTCAAATTTAGTTACATAAATAGCCCGAATTTTTAAATTATTTGCAAATAACGATTTTTTTTTTTAAAAAATATAATTATTAAAATTTTGGCAATAATAGAAATACAAAATATTACAAAATCAATATCTTTAATAAATTTTGACATCATCAATAGTAATTATTCAAAAAAAAATTTGTACTCCCTCCGTTTTTTTATAAGCTAAAGTTGGGATTTTTCACTATTTATATGCATCATTGACTTAATTTTTTACCAATATATAACATATAAATATGATCATATAATATGTTGTTAGATTTGTTAAAATGACTACTTTTATGAATTAATTTTTACTAACCAATTAAAGATATTGATGGTCAAAGTTTTATCTCGGCAAATGTGTAAATCTAACGTTAGCTTATAAAAAACAAAGGGAATAGTTTTAAAATTATCATAAGAAAAATTGTAGAATATAATACACTTACTAATCGAAACTAATTTATTTTATAGGGAAATAAATACATACTATTTTTTTTTATTTTTTTTTGAAAGAAAAATGAATACTAACCTCATTTTAATAACTAAAAGAAAATTTAAGGAAAAGCAACTAAAAACCATACTAAAATTCAGGGAGTAAAAAAAAAGAAAAATAGAAATTAAAGGGAAAAAATTATATTCCCTCCATTTCATAATGTTAGTCCCATATACTATTTTGGGTGTTTAAAAAAGATCTACTCACCCATATTGAATAGGTTGCATTTTTAATTTTTTTTTTTTGGAATTAATTGGTTGTGGATTGATGACATGACTCTGAGAAAGGAAATCTCTATTTTGAATTATGCATTATGACTTATGACCCAAAAAAATAAATCAAAAAACTTAAATAATGTAACTAATTATGAATTACTTTGTACTTTAATGTTAGATTCCAAATATTCTTCTTTTCTTATTTTATATGATTGATTTCATATGGGTCTAACATTATGAATTAGAGGGAGTATTGGTTTTTACTTTAAAAATAGTTATAGATTTTATTTCAACTATAATACTCCCTTCGTGTTTTAATAAGTGTTACACTTTGATCGACACATAGTTGTAGGCAATTTAATTGAAATTTGAAAATTTGAAAATTTGTCATCCAAAAGTATTTGCTTGTATATTATAAAAAATATTCTTATCATAACAAAGGCTTATTGTATCAAAATATTGACATTTACTTTACATAAAATCTAAACTAAACTTTCTACAATATTAAATTGTTCATTATAACTATTATAAGTGGTTATTTTTTTTGGAAAAATTGACAAAAATAATCCTAATTTTGCTCCGTCTGCCTAAAATAATCCCAAATTTATACTTCATCCGCTCAAACAGTCCCAAGAATAATACCTACTTTACACTTCACCCGCTCAAAACTTCATACTTCTAATAATTATGTGTTGAGTCCTTTTTTGTATGCTAC